AAATATACATTAGATTTTGATACAAGAAAATTTAATTCTATTTATTATTTAGGAATAATTTCAATATAATTACATAAAGTCACATATCTTACAGTTTTAAAAAGCAAGAGAATGCCATTTTTGACAAGTATCAAACAGCTTTTCAATATGTAAAAAGAGATATTACACAAGAAATTATGTTAGAAATAGCAAAACATTGAATTTCCTGCAGCCTGCTAATTTATGTCTGCGTGAGACTACTTGTCTTCTGGTCTGTTGGAAAATTGTCTTTACAAAAAATATTTCTACTAAAATTTTAATATTGATTTTAATATCAATTAGCTGTAAAAGTTGAGGGGTCGCATGTTTGACATGGCTGCCCTAGACCAAGTTAGCACAGAGTTTTCATTACTTCTTTTCTTGTGCATAGATGTATCCTTTCTTCCATATGCTGTCCCCTGGCCTCTCTGCTGTGTGGGGGAATGCCAGTGATTGAGTTTCAAGACATATAGATTTAGTTTTGTTTTCTGCTGAAATTGCCAGGACATAGGCTGTTGAGAGTTTTTTGTTACAAACAGCCAATAAAGATGGCGGACGAGGTAAACCCAGGGCTATTACCAGTTACCAGAGTGTATGGTTTTCTTTCTTCTATCCAGACATAGCCATCTTGCCTTTTATGAAGTTTCTTAAGCTGTTTCTTTGTTCCAGTACTCTATGAACCCATTCTACAAAATGAACACTCCAATCAAGGCCCCTGCATTTGAACGGAAGGCCCAGTTCTATGGAAAAAAGTATTTATTTGGATAACCTGTACACACCAGTGGAAATGCTAATGGCTGCTGTCAGAGGTTTCACCTGATTTGTAAAAGCAGTCTGTACATATCTGTAATCTTCTGTACCTACAATTAAAACAGTTTTGGATAAAGTGTACTGTTTTCTCTTATGTGATGTCTTGTAGTCCAGCAGAAGTTCATTGGTGTTTCAGAGGAACATTATCTTCTTCATTAGAGTTGAAGAGGAAGCCAAGTAAGCAGCAAGAGGTCTCAACTGGTGTGCAGTGGCACATTGCAGAAAATTGTACTCTTCATAGTCACCACTATGAGAACCTCAAATCCAATACAACTTTATATAAATTTAAGTTATCTCTTAAGTTATAAAGACTGTTTGAAATCTGTATTCTTTTGTACATCTGTAAATATCTTGCACCTGAAGAAAATAAAAGGTTGAGTGTTGAATTAGGAAGTGTGCTTTTTCATTTATTTTTTGTGGGTTATTTTATGATGATGTCAGTAGGTAGACTGTATAGTGCTGGATGACAGAATGATTTATGAAAAATGAGTTTGAAAAGATTTGAAAGGAAGCAGTTATGACCCATTTGAGGTACTATCCTGACATTCACTTGGAAGGACAGAACTATGTAAACCACAGGACAGTAGGTGTTCTGGCTGAGGTTTGAACCAGGTGTCTCCCAAATATGAATTAAGACTAATTACCACTATGCCTACATGTTGTGCTACTCCTTCATGTATCATAGATGTAGGATTGCAAAACATAACATACCATTATTGCATCCACCTGTTCTGCCCATATCTTTAAAAATTGCTTGTTTAACAGTACTTGGTTCACTCTCTTCTGTGAAAGAGTCAGTGGGAACTGACAAGTTATCTTGCAGTTCCTTGCTGTTTCTTATATAAACCTGACCTTTTGGTGAGCAGATTGCTCTGCTTGCTACCTGCTTCATGCTAGTTTCTTGCTTATCTTATTCTTCAACCCTGAAGATGGGGGTGTCATGTTTCTTCAAAATGGCAGTTAAATTTAGTGGACTCCACAATCCCATGATCCCGGTTTACAAGCGAGCGAAGACAGTACATGCCTTAGACCAACCCTGTCTGACACGGCGCCCATGCTATATTTTTCTGGCGCCCTCCGTAACCACATGTAGTTGAGCCGATTTTTAATATTAATTCAAATTGTAAGACAAGGGACATTTTTGAACGTCTGAGTACTGTTAAATCATCATCACCAGTAATCTGTCAAGAGGACAGGTCCACAGTCTCCTCCAAAACAAACTGTTAAATATTTTCGAAAAATTTTATTATTATTATTAGTAGTAGTAGTAGTAGTAGAAGTACTAGTAGCTTTAGTGTGTGGTGGCGCCCCCACCTCCATAGGCATCAGTGAATTGTGCCAGAGTACATAAGAACGTTGAACAGCACGAACAGCACTGCCTTAGACCGCTAGGCTACCGTGACCGGCAGGAACAACTTTACCTTTTCCTGTTGAAATGTGACGTACGTTTCTTGTTCAGTACTTTAAGCCAATGATGGCCAATGATCGTGTTCTGTTTTCGAATGTTGTTACACATTGAATGCCGTCAGCGCTAGTGCATCCCTCGTTGGTAGAAGGAAACATGTCTACCGGGAACTTCAACGTTTGTGTCGGATTTAGGTGTGTCTGTTACCCATTTTTAAATGTTTGCTTTAATGTGAAAAGTGTTTGTGTTTTTAAACAACTTGGTAATGAAGGGCCACTATTTATGCAAGCAGTGTAATTCGTTTTTGTGTATTTGATCGCCGATCTTATCCAACATGGCAGTCACATGTTTTATAAAGAGGTAAGAAAATAACCTAACATTGTTACTTTTATTGCAGACCATTATTTCTGAGACAGCCAATTTGATACAACTGAAACTTGAAGAGCCTAAGTGCAAGCAATATTTGTCCCTGTTTATTGTGCAGTTTGTAAGTCGCATGTTTCATAAAATTCGATGTATCGCCCGACAACAAGGCAAACATAACAAAACGTTTCAAACGAGACCAGTTATTTTAGGCTGTTGCTGGTGTATAGTACATATTATTATACGACCGTCAACACAACAAATTCTTAATAAATAAACTAATATTACTGCAGTAACATTCGTTTATTACATATATTTTCTACATGTTTCCATACAGCTGGATCATCATCAGGCAATATTCATGAAGTGTACTACTCATTATTGAATTGTATTTCTAATGTGGGTTCATATTAGTGTTCATTAATACTATAAATATGGTCACAATTCCTGTGTTTCGTTATATTTTTGAATACATATCATAAAATGTAAAAATTGGTTAGAAGTTAAATATTTTTCCATTTATTTTAACTTGTTTTACAAGTCTGTGTAGAGTAGAGTAGAGGTTTAATCTGTTAGTCTGCATTATTTTTAATTATTTGTGCACGTATTACATGGCCGTTGTCCGTACGTAAGTGATGTTATGTTCTACTTTCCTTTTTAGTGAAGGTAGTAAAGTTGTTGTGTATGTTGTACCGTGTTCTCGTGTTTTGCATAGGGGTGCCACGTCTTCTTGCTATTAGATATATTAGTTTATTTATTACGAATACGATGTGTTGATGGTCGTATAATAATGTTATATAGTAATACAGAACATGACGCAGTCAATGAAGATTTTGCTGATATGCTGATTCATAGACAGTCAAATACACAAACTTCTAAAAAATAAATAAAATATGAAGCACTTCGAGTGGAGTACTGCAGAAGTAATGTAACGAGTGCTCACTAGATTTCTTTGCGGCTCCATTGCGATTTCCTTTGAAAGTTCGTTGTTATATGCAGCCATTTTGGTTATTCATTGATACTTGATTTATTATGCATTTTTCTCATGAGGCATCAAGTTGTATAGGGCTGATACTGCTTGCCTGTCCGTCCGTCCGTCCGCTCTTGGACTACATCTAATGATTTCTATTTTCAACCAGCGTCCTTTATTTTGCGTACATTTATAAATACTTCATATTTATCATGTACAAACGTAAGTCGTGAATAATTCTTAAAAAGGAAATAGTTGTGCGTTTCTCGACCGGACAAAAAACGTGTTTAACATGTCACAAATTACTGGATTACTGGGATTCGTTGAGCTGACCACGTGACACCCTCTACCCTTAATTTCGGTTTCTCTAGACCGGAGTCGCTATTTTTCCATNAACCAGCGTCCTTTATTTTGCGTACATTTATAAATACTTCATATTTATCATGTACAAACGTAAGTCGTGAATAATTCTTAAAAAGGAAATAGTTGTGCGTTTCTCGACCGGACAAAAAACGTGTTTAATATGTCGCAAATTACTAGATTACTGGGACTCGTTGAGCTGACCACGCGACACCCTTTACCCTTAATTTCGGTTTCTCTAGACCGGAGTCGCTATTTTTCCATTCAAGTAGCTTCTCAATTATCCTCACGAGGCTAAGTGCACCCAGTTCCAGACCCACTACTTCTAAAAAAATCTGGTAGCGTCGGGAATCGAACCCGGGACATCTGGATCTGTAGCCAGGAACTCTGGCCACCCGAAACGAACATCTCCCGAAAACAGGTCTAAATCGTTATCGACCCACCCGCCTTTTCTCTATATGTAGTGTCCAATGACAGTTTATTTTATTTATGTACGGCATATTTAACGATACTGTCAGTAGCTGTAGCTATATAGCGTCGAATTGTAGGATGATTTGTAAACAATAAATTTGAAAGGATGCGGAAGGAAGGAATAGTGCCTACTTTGAGGTAATATCCCGAAATTTGCCTGGCGACACTGAATAATACAAAAACACCTCAGGATAATCGTTTTCCGAACCGAAATTTGAACCCAGGACCTCCGAGATATGAAGCAGGAATGCTGCCCACTCGACAACGACGTTTATTCTCGAATGTCAGAGCTGTAATGAATCACGAATGGGTAAGGAAGTGAAAGGAAATTGTCGCGGGAAGAAGTTCTACTATTATTCCAGATATTTGAAAACAATTATGCATTATCCAGGATTTTCGGAAGGAGATTTGAACCGGGACCACTAGAATATGAAACAGGAGCCCTAGTTAATGCATCAAGGCTTTCACTTTCCATAATATTTTTGTCTACCTTCAATTATTCTTTCGGTGGAGCTATACCTTCACTCCGCTATACATCTCCATGACGTGGTGCTTAATTAATTATGCACAGGGCTAACTTTACCTTTACTTTTACCTGAGCGCTCCAGCTGAAAGTCGGAATTCTGTCACGTGATGATGTGAGACAGTTTAAAAATAGACCGGAAGTATAAATACTGGTGAGAATCTTGGTTCACTCGATTCATTTGTTTTACCAACACTGCGTCAATTGGTTGGAGCACATATCGCTTGCTAGTGAACGATGGGATGATTATAAATGATTTATATCGAGGAAGTGACCATAGAATATTTTAAGGTACCAGCATGATCCAACGGGATAGCGTAGTCGGTATAGCTGGTTACAGGCTGGATGACAGAGGGATCGGAATTCGAGTCCTGGTAGGGTCAAGAATTCTCAATTCTCCACGTCGTCCAGACCGGCTCTGGAATCCACCCAGCCTGCTATCCAAGGGGTACCGGAGGATCTCTCTCCGGGGGTAAACCGGCCGGGGAGTGAAACTGACCACTCACCTCCAATTAGTGCCGAGGTCAGGAAAATTTTGACCTATAGACCCCCCCCCCACTACGTCTTCATGGCATAGTGTTTAATTAGTTAAGCAGAGGGACAACTTTACCTTTACTATCATCACGCTCCAAGAAGAACTTCTAAGATAAGCCTTTCTGCCCCTGGAATCGAACTAAGTACTCCAGATTGTGTGCGTGTGTGTGACTAATTGAACCAACCCCTTCAGAAAGAGAACACGCCTTCGGCAAATTCCTTTTAGAGAAACTTTGAAGATAATATGATAAATATTTTACAGTTTTAGTGGTAGTGGTGGAGGATTGCTTATTTAAGATTTCATCACTTGGGTCAGTTTTCTATGGGACCAAGTGACTTTTATGACGCCCCCATAAGCAGGTTCCTACACTTTATTAAAAGTGTAGGATTAATAAAGGGCTAATCCAAGGTGAAACACAATAGATCATTGAAGGTCGTAGTGCTGGGGCCGGTTTTTATGGCCCACCCCTTACATATATACATTACATTACATTAGTGGTGGTGGTCGTAGTGGTAGTAGTAGTAGTAGTAGTAGTAGTAGTAGTAGTAGTAGTAGTAGTAGTAGTAGTAGTAGTAGTGGTAGTAGAGTGTGTACACAACGTCTTAGAGGTTGCGTCGGCATCAGATTGTGACGTATATCGTTACGTCAATGTCAGAAATTTACTAGAAAAAGAAATCGTCATACCGGAAACCTCGTTGAACACGCGAGACTTTTCTTCCATAAGTTGCCCATTGAAGTTATGATGTACGAATCAAAGATGTTTCAG